ATATAATAGCTTTTCATATATTAAGAATAAATAATATCACACTCGCAGTTTGTTATTTCTGGAGATAGGCTTACAAATACCAGCATACTTTCTTTTTTATAATCAGTTAGAATGAAAACACAAACACAAAAATGAGAAAAATAAGCCAGTTTCTAATTTGAAGAATAAAATATAAGAATTTCAAAGATAAGTCATTAAGGCAATTTTTACCCATTTTTAATGTAACATAGATCAGTTTCATTTTGCATTTTATCACGAATTTGATTATCAAATAAAAGATCAGATATTTAAAATATTTCCATTAAAATTTAAATATACTCCAATGTTATAGTAGTATAATAATAAAATGTATTTTAAATATAAATATGAAATATAAATTTCATATGGCACGTGAAAATGAGAACATGGTTTCTAAAATTGTAAAGCGTAGTTTTTGAAATAAAAATATATGTAAAAGGTTCATGAAGCAATTAAAGTTTCATTTTTTTCTGCAAGAGTTATATTGACATATAATTCACATACAATTCAATAATTCAGTTACATCAAGAAGATTGTACAGTCTTCACTATCAGTTTTAGAATATTTTCTTTGTTTTTGTGCTCAGTGTTATTAGCTCCCCATTTACCACCACCCCCAGACCTCTCCTGCCATACCCCCAAGAAACCATCAATTCAGTTACTGTGTCTATAGATTAACTATACTGGATTTCATATACTGAAAAACATTAAAAGAAAAATAAAGTTTCATTTTTGTAGAAAAAGTTGCCCCTGTGAAGTAAAATGCTTTATCTTTCCACTGCATCAATATACCCAATTGTATATTATATCCTATATTTAGGGACATTTTCACCCACCCCTCAACATTATTCTCTTTAGAATTTAAGCATTAGGCTGCTAGCCAAAGAGTCAGCAATTTAGACCCATATGTTGCTTGTCTGGAGAATAAAGGCAGTCTTCTTCCATAAAGATTAGATTTCTAGCCTTCGAAGCCCTCTAGGGCAGATATACTCAGTCCTGTTGGGTCTCTTTGAGTTGGAATCTTCTTGACGGCAATGGTTGAGAGGTTAATGAAGTGTAGAGAAGCACGAGGCAGGTATGGTGCATTTAATCCTATTTAGCAAGAATATAGTCATGTTTTTATTGAATTTGACAATAGTAATGAAGTGTAATTGATGAGCATTGTTGTTAGGTGCCATTGAGTTGGTTCTGACTCACTACAACCCTATGACAACAGAACAAAACACTATCTGGTCCTGTGCCATCCTCATAATTTTTCTTTTGTTTGAGCCCATTGTTGCAGGCATTGTGTCGATCTGTCTTGTTGACAGTCTTCCTCCTTTTCATTATACCTCTACTTTATGAAGAGTATGGAGGCATGCTACATAAAGTTTTAAAAAGACATGAAGGCTTCTTTTATTGATAGACTTGATAATTTAATCTTCCTTTTAACAGATATAAATATAGTGGCCTAAGTAAATCTGTATGGCGGTCTCCAAAATGTTCATAGAACAATTCCATTATCTTTTAAAAAAATCATTTTATTGGGGGCTCGTACAATTCTTATCACAATCCATACATACATCCCTTGTGTCAAGCACATAATGTACGTTTGTTGCCCTCATCATTCTCAAAACATTTGCCTTCTACTTGAACCCTCCCTCTCCCCCTCCCTCATGAACCCTTCATAATGCATAAATTATTATTATTTTATCATATGTTAAACTGTCTGATGTCTCCCCCCGCCCTCTTCTCTGCTGTCCATCCCCCAGGGAGGAGGCTATACGTAGATTCTTGTAATCAGTTCCCCCTTTCAACTCCACATTCCCTCCACCCTCCAGGCATCGCCACTCTCACCACTGGTCCTGAAGGAGTCATCTGTCCTGGATTCCCTGTGTTTCCAGTTGCTATCTGTACCAATGTACATCCTCTGGTCTAGCCAGATTTGTAAGGTAGAATTGGGATCATGACAGTGGGGGGAGGGGGGAGGAAGCATTTAAGAACTAGAGGAAAGTTATATGTTTCATCGTTGCTACCCTGCACCCTTACTGGCTCATCTCCTCCCCACAATCCCTCAGTACGGGGGTGCCCAGTTGCCTACTGATGGGCTTTGAGTCTCTACTCTGCACTCACCCACCTTTACAAAGATATGATTTTTTGTTCTTTGATGCTTGATACCTGATCCCTTCGACAATTCGTGGTCACACAGGCTGGTGTGCTTCCTCCATGTAGGCTTTGTTGCTTCTGAACTAGTTGGCCGCTTGTTTATCTTCAAGCCTTTAAGACCCCAGACGCTGTATCTTTTGATAGCCGGGCACCATCTTCTTCACCACATTTGCTTATATACACTTTTGTCTTCAGTGATTGTATCAGGAAGGTGGGCACCCACTGGTATGAATTTTAGTTTTTTGATGTCTGATAACTGGTCCCTTCTGCACCTCGTGATCAGACAGGCTGGTGTGCTTCTTCCATGTGGGCTTTGATGCTTCTCAGCTAGATGGCCATTTGTTTATCTTCAAGCCTTTATCTTTTAAGTCCATTTTTCCATGAACTTTTTGAAGCTCTGCCATGTATACATATGCAAGAGAGTATATGCCCCACCAAAAAAAACCCAAATGGAAAAAAGCTCTGCTAGGTGGAGCTTTCATAGTGCATTTTTCCTGCTAGGTGAGTATCAAACAACTCACTCTGAGTTAGTGCTCCCAGTGGTGTCACCTGGGAAGGCTCTCTCTGGTCACAGTGAATTTTTTCGTAAAAGTAGTTTCGCTGGAAGTTGTGTGTGTGTGTGTGTGTGATGGCCTATTTAAGAGAACAGCATGTGGTTGTGAAGTTTTATTTCCTCCTTTGGGAAAAATGCCACAGAAAGTGTTGTGATGTTGAACACAGCTAACAAGGACAGTGCTATGGGAAAAACTCAGGTGTATAAGTGGTTTCCTTGTTTCAAAAAATGTGACATGTCAATTGATGACAAACCTTTTTCTGGACGTCCGTCAACCTCCCAAACAGATGAAAATGTCTACTTGTAGTGCATTTGGAGTTACAAGGTCAGACTGTTAATCAAGGATTTTATTTAGAGGTTCTGTAAAGATTGCTTTTGTGTGTGACAAAAAAGACCTGCTTTGGCACACCTGGGTCTGGTTGTGCCACCACGACAATATACCTGCTCACACAGCCATCTCAGTGTGCCAGTTTTTGGCAAAAACCATCATGCTTCTCTTGCCTCACATACCTTACTCATCTGACCTCACTCTGTGGACTACTTTTTTGTTTCCATGAATGAAGAGGGGCATGAAAGGACAGATACTTGTTTATGTAGAAACAGTGAAGGAAAAAAAACGGAGGGAGGTGCTGTCAGCCATCCAAACAGTTGACAAATGTATTAAGTGTAATGGAGAGTATTTTGAAGGTGATAAGGTTGTTTAGTAAAAAAGTTTAAATATGTAGCTTAAAAAAAAGTCCGTTTTGGGGGGGTACCCCCTCATATATTTACATGTAATAAATGATAAAAATGATATGAAATAACTAAGGCACAGATTCCCAAACCCCAAAGAATCTCAAACAGAATAATAAGATAAAATTAACTCCATATTTTGATCCATCATACTGAAGGGGAATAAAACCAGTAGGCAGTGCTCTTTTGTTGCTGGCTGCCATCAAGTTGGTCCCTGATTCAAGGCAACTACTTGTGTAACTCAAGAGAAATGCTCCATAGGGTTTTGTAGACTACAACCTTTGTGGAAGCAGATTGCCAGGATTTTTCTCATACAGAACTTCTGGGTGGAATCAAACCACCAAGTTTTTGGTTAGGTTTTATTGCAAAATGCTTGTGCATCCTAGGGACCATGGCATTGATCTAGATGATTCTAAATTGAAATTAAAGTAAATCTAAGAATAAATAAACATTTTAAGTAATAACTGAAACTTGTCGGGTAACATTATACTGTGCTATGTATTGGTAGCATAATGGTGAGAACAAAATATACTGTCTTCATAGGGAGATGTTAAGCCTAGTATAGGGTATCAGAGAAGAGAGCATCTAATGTAGATAAAACAAAAACAAAACAAAAAACCTCACGGATATTAAGGCCATCATAATTCTTGGTGAACCCATTTATGTCAGAGTACAACTGTATTCCATAGAGTTTTAGTTGGCTGAGTTTTTGGGTCTAGAATTCCAGATAAAAAATAATTCTTTTATATGATGTGCCTCTGGGTAGACTTGAACCGCTAACCTTTCATTGTCAGCACCACCCAGGACCATATTTATTTAAACTATGTAAGATTTCCAAGAAAAATATGTTGCATAAACTGAGACCTGAAGAACAGTGGATAGTTCCCAGGTAGGACGAGAAAGGGAATATATTTAGCAATCGGAATAATAAATGTGAAGTCTCAGAAAAAGCGAGCCAGTACTTTAGGTGAGTAATAATAAATTGTGAGGTGGGTACAGAATGGGAATGTCCAGAGATAAGGCTGGTGAGATCATCAGATGCTAGATAATGAAGGTCATTAAGAAGAATAGCTAATTAATAAATATGTGTGATACTGGTTTTCATATTAGTGAATTTATGAACTCCATGATGTAGTGTGACTTTTAGTTTGAAATATTTTCTTTATAGTTCTAAGTGTAGTTTATTATTTCACTCACTTATTAATCAAATTATATTTAAATACAGCAATTGGTATGAAGAAAAATGTGATATAGACCTTGACTTAGAGAGCATTTATACCCATTTATTGAATAGAGAGTAGATGCTTTCTGCTTCCATGAAGAGTTACAATCTCAGAAACCAAAATTTACAGTCTCCTCTACCTTTTAGAGTTGTTGTGAGTCGGAACTGATTCGATAACAGTGGGCTTTGCATGTTTTGATTGAATTGGATTGAGAAAAATCTTTTTCTGATTTTAGATTTCATGATATACTTTTGACTAAAGGCTACATGTATATTTTGTACCTAACATGTATATTTTCTACCTAACTGTCTATTACATTTTCTGTTTTAGATAAGCGAGTGTACATGACTGTGGCTGTGGATATGGTTGTCACAGAAGTGGTGGAGCCTGTCCGCTTCCTCCTGGAGACAGTAGTCCGTGTGTACCCTGCAAATGAGCGATTTTGGTATTTCAGCAGAAAAACTTTCACGGAGACTTTCTTCATGAGATTGAAACAGGTAGGATTATTTTGTTCTGTTCATGTAGTAACATAGACTTTTCTTTTTCAATATATACTTTCTTTCTGCCTTTCTTAAGATAATAGGTTAAGTAAAAATAAAATTTAGTAAAAAGCCTCAATTAATTGAATGATGTTCATACACAACCAATGAAGTATTATTTACAGCTACATCTAAGCAATGTTAAAAACAAAACAAATATAACCTTGCAATTTTATTCTATAAATTTATAATGCATATCTATAACATTTAGACAGACTAAAATATTGATTTTGAATATAAAAGGGCTTTTCTGCCTTTTATATACAATTATTCACAACACAAAAGACAGGGCACAGTAATACCATATGCTTTAAAGTTATAATGAAAATTTTTTTCACCTGCCTAATTGCTATAATTATTTTTACTTATTTGGTTAATCAACATTATGTGACTATTGTTTGTCATAATTTGTAAGGTTATAAAATTATTTAATATTAAATGAACAAAATTAGAGTTTTATACCATCCTTTTTTTTCTTTCCTGTTTTTTTAAAATCATTTTATTGGGGGCTTGTACAACTCTTATCACAGTCCATACACCCATTATATCAAATGGACATGTACAAATGTTGCCTTCAAGAATTTCAAACATTATCTTTCTTCTTGAACCCGTTGTTATTAGCTCATCTTTATTTCTTCCCTTGCCTATTCTGCCACCCTCTCAAACCCTTAATATTTTATGTATTGTTATTATTATTCATACATATCTTACACCACCCATTCTATCTCTACACCTACTATCCTGGTGTTCGTCCTCCTCGAGGGGGTTTATTCCACCATCATTGTTATCCATTGTCCCTTTCCCTACCCTCCTGGAATCGTTACTTCCATTACCGTTTCTGAGGAGTTCGTCTATCCTGAATTCTGCATAACGAAAGCTCTCATCTTGTCCCGATGTATGTACACTGGTCTAGCAGGATTTGCGAGGTAGGACTGAGATCATAATAGTGGGGGGCGGGGATTAAAGAACTAGAAGAGTATTGTGTGTTTCGTTGGTGCTAAACTGCCCTTGGATATATCTTCTCTTCCATGCGGCTCCACTGCACAGGGAATGTCCAGTTGTCCACAGATGAGCTCTGGGTCTTTACTTTGACCCCTCTCCTCACCTCGATAAGGTTGTTTATTTTTGAACTTCAGATGCCTATTCCTGTGGAGACCTCATGATCCCACAAGCTGGTGTACTTCTTCCATGTGAGCTTTGTTGATTCCCTGCTAGATGGCCGCTTGTTTGGCTTCAAGCTTTTAAGCCCCCAGATGCTAAATTTCTTAATAGCTGAGTACCATATGCTTTCTTTACTTTTGCTTATGTACCCAGTTTGTCTTCAGCGATTGAGTCAGGAGGGTGGGCTTCACCCAGTACCACATTATCAGAACCAAGTGTTCTTGTGTTGCAGGAAAACTGAAGTAGAGGCCTAAAGTCTGTCCACTATCTCAGTGTGTTGCCATATAAATATATGTACATAGACCAGCACCTCAATTTTTATGTATTATTATATTTACATATGTACATGTCTATGTTTACCTCTATAAATAGTTTTGCTTACTAGTTTTTTTCTTCTATTTCCTTTTACCTTCCTCCTGCCTGACTATCATGCTCACCCCTCATTTGCCTCTCAGTAATACCTGTTGGCTATATTACAGTTGCTCCATCACCTCTAGGAATTCTACACCCCTCTTGCTGTTAATTTTAGATCCCTAGTTGTTCCCCTGTCTGTGCCATTATTTGCTCACTGCTCCCTTCCCCCAGCCTCCTCTTTCCACTATCCATGCCCTCCCTCCCCTCAACCATTGGTCCCATTGCTTTCTCCTTGGGCTTGCTTCTTATGCCTATCGTATATAGATAGAACAAAAATAACAAAGACAAGACCCAAAAAATCCTAAAACAATCAAAGAAGAAAAAAGAAAGAGGAAAAAAATCCCCAATTATGCATAGTTTGTTCCAGATCTGTCTGCTGACCTTTATGACTATAAGACTATCTCTCCACCAGTCTGGTGGGGCTCTGGACACTGCTTCACTTAAGTCTGAAGTCTATTTTCAGGATTCCTCCGGGGCTTCGTGACTTTGTTCCCATTGCTGGTGTGTTATGTTCCCTTCATGGTTCTTCCTTCTGTGAGGATTCAGACCGAACTCATTCCCTGCACTGTGTCCACATTATTGTCCTCCATAGCACTATGCTCTAATGAGGGGACATCATGTCTCAAGCTGCTGTCGGCCCTACAGTCCTCTCTGTGCCTTAGCTGCTCCAAACAGAAACATCTCATCCTCAGGGCATGGTGTGCCCGAATGGGGTCTAGTCCTCATTCTCTCTCTTTTCTTTTTATTTTTCTCCCATGTGGGCAGGACAGGCTGGCTCCACTTCCTAGCCTATAGCTTCAGTGTTGTCCTCTAAAGCATATTCTTCTAGGAAGGGTGTCAGCATAGGTTGGATTTGGGCCAACCTCACATTTCTCTTTGTTAATGCAGCTATGTTGCCCTCGAGACTTGGTGCACCATGATGAGGTATGCACTCTCGCTCCCTTTCTGTGGAAACATAAACATAAACAATACTTTCCTTGTGGGTAGATTAGTGCCCTGTTCCTCAATGCCATCATTTTTTTGTCCTCTCACCCGATTTCCACCTTCTTTATGTTGGGATGCTGTGTGCATCCTTGGATTTGATCTGTCACCCACCTGAGTGCCTGTAGCTCTACCCATAAATTATATAGTAAGGACTTTTGTTTTGTACCCACTGTGCAGAGTGATCTTACCTTAGCAGACCCCTGTTGTATTTGTCCTTTTGTGCTTAAGTTCAAGTTAAATTTGTAGGTAAGTTGGAACAGGAGCACATTGTTCTTACTGAGCCTTACTTCAGTGCAAGAGAAGGCCTCAAAACCTTTCCAAAGATTTAAAAGCTTCACTGTAGCAAGTGAAAGTGATTATGATGAATAATTTATTGCAAGTAGGGCTTGGTTCAGTTGTTTTAAAATAATGGTTAATTTATATCACATTAAAGGACAAGTCAGAAAAAACAAAGAAAGCAAAATAAAAAACCGAAAAAAGAAAATGAAAGACAAGTTGGAGCCTTGGTGACGTAGTGGTTAAGCGTTAGGGTGATAACGACAAGGGCAGCTGTTTAAAACCACCAGCCACTCTGTGGGAGAAAGATGAGCTTTCTATTCCCATCAAGAGTTACAGTTCTAGAAACTCACAAGAACACTTCTAACCTGTCCAATAGGGTCCCTAGGAGCAGTAATTTACTCGATGGCAGTGAGGAAAGAACAAATGCCTCTTGTTTATAAGTTGGATATTCACAACCTGGGATTGTCTGTACAATGAAGCTACTTATTTTTGTATCAGAAAGAAAAAAAACACCAAATCTTGACATGGTTCAGTTCAGTTTCACATACTAGATGCTTTGAAATTACTGTTGTTTTTATGTTTCATTAAATTATTAGACTGTGGTTTAGCACAACTGTTATTCCTGTGTGGACTAATTTTAAACATTCTTTATATCATTTTCTAATGAAAATTAGATGAGCAATATTTGAAACTTTCATCTCTGGAGTATCTTTAAATATTTTGCTATGATATTTTCTTTTCCTTTTGTTTTCAGTAGTTTAGTTGTTATGACTGTCAGAGGTCCTGTTTATCTAAGCTAAAGGAATAATTATATTTGCATGACAGTGAGTAAAGTATCTGCATAGATAGTATCATTTTTGTAGTAATAATTAATGAATTATTATGATGTCAGTTCTACCAGCTAGGGACATGAAAGACATTTTTTCTTTTCTTCAAAGTCTAGTATTCTTGCTTATCTTGCTCCCTACTCTTATGTATTACACAAGCTGGGTTTTTTTTCTTACTAAATTCTTTCTTTTAAAAACTGTTGGTGTTGAGTGACTGTGAGTGGTAAGTACCATGAGAATTTTTTTGAGTAGCTAAATATTGTAACTAAATATTATAACAAAATGTGCAAGGACCTGGAATTAGAAAACCAAAGTGAAGAACATGCTTAGCATATCTGAAACTGAAAACTCAAAAAATTCAAGCCTTGAATTGCAAGTTTGAAAGATTCTATAGTCAAAATATTGAATGGTGCAGGAAGCATCAAGAGAAGATGGAAAGAATAAAAAGAATCACTGTACCAAAAATTCAACAGCCTACCATTTCAGGAGATCGCATATGAGCAAGAACCAATGATGTTGAAGGAAGAAGGTCAAATTGCACTTAGATGTCTTAGCCAAAAACAAGGCTCCAAGAATTGATGGAATACTCATTGAAATGTTTCTTCAGGAAAGCTGATGGTGCCCGGCTATCAAAAGACATAGCGTCTGGGGTCTTAAAAGTTTGAAGGTAAACAAGTGGCCATGTAGCTCAGAAGCAACAAAGCCCACATGGAACAACATATCAGCCTGTGTGATCACAAGGTGTCGAACGGATCACTGAAGACAAATG